ACTGAATATTTTGTATTTATTTTCATATAACAAATATATATATAACACATATCAAGGGCCACAAAAAAAAATCAGAGGGCAACTTTTTATAGATCCTTTAGGGAGATAGAGCTGTTCCCCAAAGAGTTCTTGACTGGTGGCTCTGGTTCAGGGTTCAGGTTAGCAGCATGTTGGTTTCTACAACAGCTCCTTGAATCTCAAAGATTTCAGGGAGATATCAGTAGAAGCTTATAAAACTTAACCTGAATGTTAGGATCAAGGAAGCAATTTCCCTGTTCTCTCTCTTTACCTTACGGAACAGCTTTATCTGTTTAGTCTTCTTCACTACGCAATAAATTTAAATGCGTGCATTTTTTGTGCAGGAAATTGAAAACTTTTGGCAGATTTTTTTTTTTTTGCCGTAGCTGCTAACATATTTATTGTTTGATTTATATGTGTCACTGGAGTCAGGAAATCACTAATCCATTAATAAATCTAATCCTCTCATCATCAAGCTGTATGGATAAGTATTTAAATAAATTATACTGATAGGGCAATCAATTCTCTGAATGTTATAATAAAAATCAGAAGGAACTTAACTATGCAGGTGATGGATCTACCAGAACAAGAACAGCAATTTAAATAGTTCAGAGAAATACTCAGTCATGGTAGACTGACAGAGGTATATAAAATGAGGAAAGGTAGGAAAAAAAAAGCTACATCAGGGTTTGTTTTTTTTTAAAACCTCTCATAACACAACAAAGAACAAACAACCAATACAAAACCAGAACACTTATAAAGAATGAAGCTTTTTCTGAAAGAAAGTGGACTTTTGACAGAGCTTCTAAGTGGCCCGCAGGACTCATTAACCTCCCAAAGCTCAAAAATCATCAGGTCAACAAAAAAACACCCAAATCCTGACACTGAGGAGGCAAAGTAAAAGCAAAACAAACCAGGGAATATAAATTTCAGTGGGCCAGAACATAAGCCAACTTCTAATGGAAGGGTTAGGAAGAAAATTCCTATATATAGCAAGGTTATTCAAGGCTTGTCCACTCCAGGGATCCTTACAATTTTCCCTGAGGCACTTGTCCTGGCTATTCTGGGTGCGAGGATAATGGCTGAGACATATCTGGGGCCTGATTCTCTATGCAGCTCCATTCATCTCTGTTTATATAATAAAGAAAGGCATTATAATAGTTACTCCAAAGATGAAAATTAAAAAGTATTCTGAAAAATTACCATTATATTTATTGCTATTTCTTGCAAAATCAAGGTTGTAAGCCCAGAGCAGAAAACAGAAACACTGCATTGAGACAGTAAAAGCATAAAGAAGGAACTTGCCATCTAGCTACTAATAAAATTAAAAGTTTCATAGACTTTTGGGCCAAAGCCCATCAATTATTTAGTCTTGTTACCTGCATAATGTAGGTCACAACCTCCCACTGTAATTAGGCTAAATAGTATCTACTTCTATTTCAGCTCTGTAATAAAATATTTAAGACAACAGTTCTGATTTCAAGACTTGAGGAATGGAGAACCGAACACATGCCCAAGCTGGGGCTTTCCCTCCCTTCCTCATCCTGAGCTTGGCTTTATTCTGCACTGAACTGCTGCACATTTAGTAATTTTTTCCTGACTGGATTCCATGACACCACATGCTGAGTACACCTGATTTGTACAGAACATAATGGTATTTTACTTAACTCTTGGATAAACTAAGCAGACTAGACTCTCTTCTTTCACTCAACTAAATTTTTCCAGATTTCCTTTGGAGCTTTAATAGGCTCAGTTTGGGATCTTTCAGGGTTTGTGTTGGTACAGCTTCACTTTGTGTGTGTGTGAGTTTTATTCAATGAATAATGCTAAAAATTGGTCTTGATCTAGATCCTTCTCTCAGCACAACAGCGAGACTTGTGTAAGGGGCACACAGTGGCAGGTATTATAGGCAACCTTAGGTAACTGTCCTCAAATGCATGTCCTTCTGTCCACTTAGCAAATACTTAGTTGCCTGCAGAACACACTGATGTTCTGAACGTTTAGGTAACAGCTGCAGTGCAAACACAAAACATCAAACCCCACCTTATCAGTGTTACTGTAGGGGAATTGCTGGAGTAGGAAAACCCATCAGCTACAACCTTAATTGACAATGGATTCAGTACTGAATATTGGAATAAACAGAAGCAGGAGAAAATTTATTTGACAGAAATTAATCCAGCACTAGTTAAGCGGCATTATTTCAGCAAATATTACTGCAGGCTTGTGGGCAATTAACAGATCTTAGTTTTAAGACTCTACTAAATATTAAATACTATTTATATCTATTTTTGTTGTTAGTTTTCGCTTAGAACCTTCCTGAAAAAACAACCCCACCCTAATTATAGGATACAAGGTTGAGCTCTGAAGGCTCTTAAAATTGTGCTTGTCAGGCGAGGTCCTCTAAGTCACTGGCTGTGGTGTAACAGCAGAGCATTGCACATAAAATGTTCCACTACTTTTGCCAGCTGCAAGAGGGTATTTAGTCAGAGCAGTGACAAAAAAACCCAAACACCAAACCCAAGCCATCAGTTCTGTTCTACAGATTTTAAGTTTGCCATTTTCAATGCAGGAAAATTACCGTCTCGTCCAGTGGAGGGAGTTTTCTTTCTTTTCCTGGATGCCTAACATCTCGTGCACTTGAAGACGGAGGTGCAGAAAGACAGCCCCTATCTACTAGTTCTGGGTTTCTCCCCTTCAAATACTTGCTGATGAGCAAGACACCGTGTGTCAGCCTAAGAGAAACAGAGATAGGGGAACACAAGAACAACAACAAAAGCATCTTCAATGTTTCTAAGAGTGTGGAGGGAGAAGACGACGCAGCAGCTTCACCCTGGGGGAAAGCACTGGCAGGCTGTGGGTTTCACAGCACCACTGTACCTGTCACCTCCTCCTCAGGAGAGATGTGTGCAAGACAAAGGGAACAGCCTTGCTGAGGGGAAGTGAGGGTGAGACAGAAATTAATCAGCAGGAGTGTTTAACACCGTTGCATCTGAATCTGAAGTTTTGGCTTCTAGCGTCTTGTGTGATGGTGTCTGCTCCTTGAGTGGATAAAAACCGACTAAGATTGTGGGGCAAAGGGAAAAAAAGAAGGTCCAGAGTGTAGCAAGCCAATGAGTTAGAGCGCCATAGCTCGGAGCTGGGAGTGTGCAGTTCCACCAAAGGGAACAGCTGGAAGGAGCAGTGAGCAGCCAGCCACCCCTCGGAGGTGAAGAAAACCTTGCTAAGAGACTGAGCAGTGTTTTATTTCAGCTCAAAGCCAGCCAGCCAGCCATGCCTAGCCTGGAAACGACAAGACTCTGGGGAGGGAAACATTGGTTTAGAAATTCTTCTCTTCCATCTTGCCTAGCCATTTTGAGTCTATATTCAAAATATGGTCTCACAAATGTGCAGAGGGAAATCCTATTACTCTCTGCTCCTACTTGGTCTATTTGCTTAAAGGGTTAAATCTGCCCTTTTATTTATTTCTATGTCAGTGTCTTCTGAAATAATTTCTCTTCCTGGGAGACATCTATTCCTTGTGGCCAGATGAACCTTCCTTTTGGTCAGTATCAAACACACACTTTACTAAGTGATTTGGGCCACTCAGCAACTTGTCCTCATTAATAACAAACTGGTAGATTAAAAAAATTGTATTTTATTTCGAGTCATTTATGAAAATATTGTACACTGTTGAACAGATCTGCAGAATTAGTCCACTGCAAATGAAAAACTTCCTCTCCAGAAGTAATTTAGTATAAATCGACCTTTTAGTTTTTCCCCTTCAGATTCTCAAGTGAGATTACAAAACCCTCAACTATACTCTGTCATACAATAATCAATTCTGCCATACAATAATCAGCCACATTTGCCATCTCATCGAGTTTAGTCTTGTAGTTTTGTTTAGCAAAGCCAGAGTTGCTTTTTCCCAAAGCCATGTAGAGGGGCCTTACTGAGGTTAGCTTATTATTTACTCACTGCATAGATCTAGAGTTTGATCTTATTGATCCCTGTCACAACATCCACTTTTTTGGAACTTTCCCAGTTTTCCAAGGTAAACTTAAAAATCATGTCATCACCATTCAGGGAGCTCCTTACCACCTTAGTGCTCATAAATCCACTATCTGTTCTTGTCAGACTTTAATACTTGCACAATAATGTCATTTACAACAAACTTTATAATTTATTTTTAAGCAAAAATATCAGTAGCCTTTATACAGCTGCACTAGATGCTACCACTAGCTGCTCTGAAATTTCTGATGTATCACTTCTCCAAACTCACGGAGAAGTCTTAGGCAAACCAACTGGCTAACTTGGTACAAAACCAGATTGACATCAGAAAGGACAACCAAACCAAGAGACTTCTTCCTTATTCCACACAGAACCTAAAGACATATGGGAAGTTTACGTACTAACAGATTCTAGATATATAAAGATATTAACAGGAAAGCCTTTTTTTACAGGAGATACCTTTTCTTTACTTTTGAGATCAAAGTAACTGCAGCATGTAACATGTCTTACCACCTCAGGTGCCCATTTTTATCCACACTTTGGACTCGTGGCCCATAGTGAGCCCCATTCTTCTGTTTTGCCCCTTACTCTGCAACTTCTTTCCAAAGGAGCCTCCCCTTCACAATCACCTAGAAAGTTATGTACCCTCCGCACCTCTGTTTTAGAGTATATCCAAAGCTCACAGCAGCCCTCAGGGAGGAAGGGGGAGAAGAAGGGGGAGAAACACCTGGAACTGGAACTCAACTGCAGCAATTCCCCCGTGCCCTAAGCTTACCTGTAGCAAGCCTTTCAGTACCTTTCCCAGGGTGAATTCAGTATCTCTCACAGGATGAATGTCTATTATTAAACCAAGACGAAATGGTTCTTTGTAAACCAGAGTAAGCACACGACCTTTTTTATTTGTTGTCTCAGCTGAAATTAGTGATATTTATAAATGAAGAGCATCCTTTCAGAAAAGCTGTGACAGTTACCAGAACAGTAAAAATACAATAGAGTCCTGAGAGATAAAAATTTATTTATCTGATCAGCATGTCATGATATGGTCACAACTCATACAGCTGACATTCTCATAGCCAAAAGAGGGATGTTTTTTCTTTTTAAAAATACATTTTTCTTTCCAGCAGGAAGGATTTTTTAAAACAAACATTTCATACTAGGCAGGAATTAAAAACAATGGCTTTTTCAATATGACAACACCGCTGGTAAGCACTGGATCCTCCACCAGTGTCTTAATATTAAGATTTCAAGTTTTCCTTCCCAATTCCCGATTCCCCCCACCCCTCACAGAAAAACACCACACAGAAAAACAAGACAAAACCCAGAAGGGAAACAAAGAGGTAGACGTCACTACAACCATGGCGCTGTTTTGGAAATTGTGCAAGATGTCTCATGATACTCCAAGGAGTTCCTTTTTCCTTTGTTACACGTTGCAGTATTGCACACCAGCAGTTAACACAAAAGGTGACATGGAGCTAAGAGCTATTGTTAGGGAGAGATGCCAGGGCCACAGAATGAATGGTGCCGTTCCACTTGATATTGCTTTGCCTAGCTAGAGCTGTTTAAAAACAGACCTCTCTTTAAAAATACATGTATCTCACAGTAATTACGGACTTGCTCACAACAAGGTTGGAGTCACATCATTTTAGGGTGTTGCCAATGCAGGGTCGATGGGGTCTCAGGTTCTGCTCTTGGCACACCCTCAACTCAGAAACTTAAAAGATTCATTGCTACACAGTGACTTGCAGAGAAATTATGCAACCTCAGCGCCGGCACAGCTTCCAGAGGGCGCTGGAGTGAGTGAGGGCAGGGCTGCAGAAGCTGCTTTCCCCTCTCTTCCCTACTGCTCCACTCCTGCCCTTACCACTTCTGGCATAGAAACATTTGCCTCTGTGTCCTTCCTCATGAATGCTCTAATAAAATGTTATCTATCACAAATTAACACTGCAGCTGTGTAGTGAACCAAAGTGTTATTTTACTATTTGTTGTGTTTATGGTAAGCACAATAAAGGGTGTGTATCTATTAGTTATAAGCACAATAAATATAACCATCAAAGAAAATCATCTAATCTATTAAGGATTAGAAGCATATGAAATAATCTTGGGGAAAAAAAAATCAACCACACACACAAAAAAGAGGGAAAAGAAACCTAATAATCTTCACATAGAAATGCTGCTTCTGGTATCTGTCTACATTTCTGAAAGACATCTTGGCTGCTGAAAAGATCTTATTAAAAAATCCAATGAAATAAATTCAGCAAAATAATTCCAAACATGACCAACCCTCTGCAGAACCACTGACAGTCCCTCCAGGCTCCTGCATCCATTTTATCATACGAAACAAAAACACAGGTAACACAGGAGGGAAGGAGAAAATTGGAGGTGAAAGTAACCGGTACAAAAAAAAAAACCCTGTTCATCATACAATATGAACATCATGGTAGAGTAATTTTAAGGAACTAACTCACTTTAATAGGAGAGCTGTTCAGTGAATAATTACTTCATTATCTCATGATAAAATAAAAGGTCTAACTTTAAAATGCATAGAATCCTTTCAATGACTTATTTTGTATCACAGCCACGTAGTCTACAGTTTTTACAGAAGAAGTAGAGCTGCTCAGAAGCATTCATAATGTATGCAGACATTATAAACCAGAGTACATTTTCCATTTGCTCTTCCAATTGTTGTTTTGAGTTTTTTTTAAAGAAGTGTAAAAACTATCAAATATGCAATTTTGCAAAACAACCCTTTATTTCATATGGCTCCATTATTTCCAAACAATACAGAATCCCAGATGTGTAATTATTTAATGTGATTGTTTCAGATCACCACAAAATCTCCAGCTGACTGTCAAGAGAATGCACCCAACCCTGGGCTCATGATTTGGAAATCCCAGTTTTAAGTACCTTTGGTCCCAAAATTTTGTCAAGGCAAAGCGGAGCAGTTGAATCCTGTCACACACAGTGATCGGTATCTGTTATTGTCTTGTACAAACAGGTGAAAAAAGTTAACAGCACTTTATGGCAGTGTCAGACAAAAAAAAGTTAGATCATTTGCAAACCAAGTGAATAATGAACAGTACCACAGTGATGCCTGTATTTTCACTGCAATAAGATGCATCTTATTTTTGATGGTGGGGGTGGAGGAGGGAGAGGGAAGCTTTTAATTTTTCAGTAAAGCGAGTCGAACTGAAATCTCACTTTTCAGCATCTGGTGAGAGCAACTTAAAATAAAAATCCCTCCTGTAAGAGATACCATAGTCGCAAAACTAGACAGAACCATACATGGAGTCCAAGTACACCCATAATGAAGGCACACTCACCCCAGGGCACTGAAGAAACACTGCTCTATGTGGATGGGCAGATGCTTTTCACATAATGAGAATTCAAAGAGCAGCAAAGCTAAAACATGAGGACTTACATAATTTCAATTTTAACAACTTGTTTATGAACAATTAAATGTAGAAATGTAGAGATGTTTTGTGTGCAACCCTGGCAGAGAATCACCTTTATTTGCGATACACTCAAATTGCTCTGTTCTGACTTATGTGTGCAACGGCTTTCAGTTAGCACTTTTTTCTGTGAATTTTTCGTTCTTGATCATTTTATACATTTTTCTATTATTTTTCCCCTTAATATAAATTCAAAGTTATATTCATTTGTGATCAACTGTATGGTTCATTAACATAATTTCCATCAAACACATTTTGAACTCTCCAGAGGAGAAAGCCCCATGGATGGTGCAGCAAAATGGCCACCACATCCATAACACCAGCCAACTGCCAGAAGGTAGAACCAAACTGCAACCGACAGGATTTCACGTTTTACAAAGTAGCCTGCTAAGCTCCACACAGTCTGGACCAGCACGGTATTTATAGCACAGAATTTCCTAGACATTGTATCCACTTTATGTTTTTCCCTTCATAGCAAAACTTCTATCCAATTTATTCTCTTTCATGAAGCAGAATCCAAGATCACGCTGGGAGGGTACTTTGGAGTTGCTTAACAACGGTTTTGTTCCACTGTCATCTACAGCAACTCAGCCATAAGGAGACACAAGTCAGGCGCTCTTCACATTTTCCAGTGCAGGCAGGAAAGAAGCCTAGGACCTTAATACTATTTACTCACCCTACTGAAACAACAATCAGTGCTTGAAAACAAAGTAAGAACTACAGAGGAACAAACTGAAAATGAACAGGACCAGATAAATCAAATGCTTATCTGAAACGTTATTGCGCATTATTAATTCCTTTAGGCAGCACGTGAACACTCGCTATTGACCTCAACCCACTGGGAAAAAAATAAAAATACTGCTTTTGAAAAAACAAGATGCTCTTACAAGGAGTTCACAGCGTCTGTAAAGAACAATCTCCTGATGTGAGTAACTGCTGTGCAATCTGCTTATATAAACTTCCCTTTTTATATCACTCCAGTCTGTCCTAGCTCAAAATAAAACGAGCTGTACTATGGCCATCTGTGGTTCTGATCAAACTACCTGGTAGAGGACAGTAGTAAGCAGCTTGCCACCTGTGTTTTGCAGTTTTAAAGATTCAGTCCCACGCGCAGAAGAAATAACCACTTACAGGGTAATGGTGCTGGGCTGCCCCAACACCCTCCGTAAAATAGCAGATCAAATACATTCATTCCATCAGCTGGACTTTAGTAAGAGCAACACAAAAAAACAAATACTCCTCAGACTGCCTCCCTGTCAGGGCATACCTACCTTTTTAATGGATTTTACATTACACCAGAATTCAGGTGTAAAGAGATGGTATTTAGAAACAGTATCTTGTCTTAAACAATGAAGCTATTGGCAACTAGTATCTTTTGCCTCCAGGCTGCACTGGTGCAGCTACACTGCTACATTTGTGAGGACAGGGGTGGCATATTTGACAAGGTATTTTTCCACAAAGCCAGGGAAATTGGCATTGCCTCGTGTTTTGGTATGCTCTTTGCTCCCCCACAGAAAGGGAACACTGGCTAGGTTTTGTATGCTGCACACCACCTACTGTGATTCATGTAGCAGCAGAGGGAGTGAGAAGGGGAATCAATATTGCATGCTCAGAGCCAAAACTACTGAGGGCTTACTTTGTTCTCAACAAAATTACTCTGTAAAAGGCAGTATGCCAACATCTGAAGTTCTGGCTACCCTGCTTGTATTTAGACAGATTAGTTTTATTTTAGGAACAGTTCTCTCAAATCTCTGTATAATCACATAAACACAATGCCAACCAGACCTGCCAGAAGTAAGGCTGTACATCACAGACATCCTTTCAAAAGTATCCTGTGCTACACATCTGAAAGTGTCTTCTGTTCCCATTTGCCCTTCAGTTCAACTCATCTTCTTTCAGTAAGATTTTAGCACAGTGGTGAGCTAATTAATACTGCCCTCCATGTAGTTATTCAGAATAATTACCATACCTTTTTTTTCACTAGTATCTTCCTATAGATTTATGATAGCAATTATACCTATATTTTCTTTTTAAGAAACTAGTTTTTCTTCTATTACTCCTTAGCAAAACATTAAGATGGTTGGCATTGAATTATTTAAAAACTCTCCCACAAGTATATTTAGCGCTGTTGCAATTAGCAGGGAGAAAAAGGCCTCTATAAACCACTCAAAGGTCACCTTGGTTGGACTGCAGTATACAAAATACAAAGGTGGCTAAAAATCCCCAGCAGCACCAGCAGACCTTCAGCAACAGCTAGAATCGCTCTGGCTTCCAAAGTGTGACAAATAAAGCTTTCTTCTATTCCCTAAGTTTAATGTCTTTCCTTCACTGTATTTTTACCTTTAAAAGTGCATTTTCAAAACTGACGATCACTGAGAAGCATTCTGAACAAAGAGGGAAAATTAACCAAGTGACTTTATATTTTCCAAGTTTCCTCACAATACGAGACACTGGTAGCACACGGAACTGGGAGAGCTGATGGTAAGACCACAGCAGGGATGGGTTGATTCATCACATATGGATAGCTTTTAATCACACTACAATGCTGCAATGCATTTTTGAGGACCAATTCCTCACAAAACAGACCTGACACGAGATCTTATTTGGGTCTTGGGTTTAGATCAATGTGTCCAGTACAACAACTGCTGACTGTGTAGCCAAAAAGATACCGCCACTAGCTCTGTCGAGTATCTTTGACTCCAGCACAATGAGTTGCAATAAAGTACAAGTTGTGCAAATGAGGAATCTCTACCACACCAATGTTGTACACACTACTGAAGAGACAAGTTGCTGAATTTTCTGAGCTCTAACTACATGCCAAGAAATACTTGTGGTGACAAAGCTTTCTTGTCACAGACATTCTTCTACGGTGGTTGTACGATTGCACCTTTTGTCCAAATGCTGAATTTGCTTAAGTGTGGGTGAGAGTATACATTTTTAAAAATACAGACAATTCTTAAAATAATACATCATCAGGTCACTATGTTACTGATCTTCACTTTTAGTGGAGTTTAAAATTCCCCCAAAGAGAGGTAAAAGTCCGTCCAGTATTTTCCTTTACTCTTGAATATTCACATTTGCACATACAACATGATACTCATTTGCAAGAGCCTGGATTCCCATTGTGTCCTCAGGTCCCATTCCACTTTTAAAATAGGCAATGGTACAAATACTGAAAGATGCAGTACCACATACCGCCTGACAAAAATGCAAGTGATTGTATGCCAACTAGCCACAGGTTACTGAGGGTCATCTCCCGAGAAATAGCTTTTGTTTGACCCTTCGGTGGGGGAAAAGCTCCTACAAGAGAAAAGAAAACACATTTAATGCTTCTGTACAGGAATGACAGCCTTAGTGCACAACTCTTTACCACCACTGCTTGTCCCAGCAACAGTGCCCACAAATGATTAATTAGTTTCTTATGTGCTGTGCTGTTAAAACTTGTGAAAGATTCTCCAGTGTTACTGGTTATCTTCAAGAAAATTAAAACAAACAAACAAACAAAACAAAAACCACACAAAACCAAAAAACAAACCCAAACCCTCAATAGGAAAAATTTTCATTTCCTTAAAAATGTTAAGCATAAAATTCAAAGCATTCCTTCGAAGCAGCAGTCCTCATTGTACTCAATGTTTGCAGGGAGATCCGACTGTCAACTAAGTTTTCTGTGTTATTTTTGAAGTTTTATTAATATCTGTATGATCAAATTGAATGGATTCCATATTAAACTTTACAGCTGCCTGGTGATGGGTTTGTATACTGTGAAGAAACAACACACAGACATTCTTGAGGTTCCTCTTGAAAATGTAATGACACACAGATAAACACACACGCTTTTTTAAACAACAGCTTCCACATGTTGTTTGAACATTCACTGGCCAGTCAGTCATACAGACTAAGGAAACATTGTAATTTGCCATGGAGTTTTCCAGAAATACTTTACTGAAATGCTTGCTTAGATGGGAAAGACTGAAAGAGATACAGCTGACAATAATAAAATTTAATTTTTCCATATTTTGGCTTCTTCTGATCTGCAACACTAAATTAAATGTGTCTGAATACATCAGAGCTTTATGATTATAAGCTAACTATTTGCATATATTTACATCAGCATATCAAATAATTTGTTTTACATTTTACTGAGATGCACAAAGCCTTGATGATACAAACCACTTTTGTTGTTGTTCATGTTGAACAGTGCATATAAAAACTCTAAATACACCAGAGAAGATGATGTATTTGCTGCAGCATTATGGAGTCTCAACTTCTCACAGAAGAACATGAAATTAATGATTCAAAGAGTCAAGACACAGCAGTGTCAATTTTTAATCTCAGGAACCACACAATTTGGGCAATCAGATGTCATCAGCAACTTCTCTCTGTGCTTCACATTTGCAATCACTGGAGGAACTGCAATCAAGCAGTTAAGACAAAGCTTTTCTTCCTGCATGAATGCTCTTAAATAAAATTAAAAAAAAAACAAACACCAAAACCAACTAACTAAGAAAAAGCCTAAAAAGCCCCTCTCAGTGACACATATTTTCACATATGGGCAGATGTGCCACATCATTTATTCCCACAGCAAGGTTCTGTTTGTCCACTCTACACTGCATTTGTACTTCTATGGCCCATTGGTTTTTCTGTACCAACAATGACTTCTGGTTTAAATAACTTTCCTTCTTCTTTGGTACATACAGATGGCAACTGCCTCCTTCCCCTCTCCCAAGCCAACTCGTATCTTTGATCCTTCACTTTCCCAGCTGAGACAAGCCAAGTACTTTCCGTTGTCCTTCACAGAAATGATGACTCCTTCCCCTTAATCATCTTGGCATCTATTATCTTTCCCTCTTCCCAGTTCCATTCATATTTTTTGAACAGGGATGACAGACATGTATGCAGAATGTCCAGATGAGGTTTCAGATTTGCTACAGTGAGGAGTGTTTCCTGTTGCCCTGTAGGATGACACTGCTTACTTTTTTAGTTACCTCACACCAGTTGGCTTATGAGCACTTACAGGAAAGACAGGGCAAGACTATTTACAACAGCATGCAGTGACAGGACAAGGGGGAATGGGTTCAAACTGAAAGAGAGCACGTTTAGATTAGATGTTAGGAAGAACTGTGAGGGTGGTGAGGCACTGGAACACAATTCCCAAAGAAGCTATGGATGCCCCATCCCTGGAAGTGTTCAAGGCCAGGTTGGATGGAGCTCTGAGTAACCTGGTCTAGTGGAAGGTGTCCCTGCCCATGGCAGGGGGATTGGAACTAGGTGATCTTCAGGGTCCCCTACCAACCAAATCATTCTATGATTCTATGATTCACAGTGAATGAGGAGCACAATGACTTCAGTATACAATTGCTCCTAGTTTATAGTTGTATTTTTAAATTTTTTTTAATTAGTCCCCAAGTGTTTTTGTCCTGATAAATGTAATCTCACTTGTGTTACTGTGACGTTCAAGGTTATCCTGCTGAACACTTCAGAGAAAACAAGAACTTGCCAATACAAATTTTCTACAAGCTGCTAAAATATGAGTCTGTTACTTACACCTACAGCTATTAAACCTAAATGGTTTTAATTTTACAAATGAAATGTGTAAAATGCACCTGTAAGAAATTATGAGATGGTTTCATTTCAAATTTTAGGCATATACTTTTTTTGGGGTTTAATATCAAGAGGTCTAATATTACAGGTTTTCCCCAGACAATTAAAGTTCTTAACACTTAAGAATATAGCAAAAAGGAAAAAGCTGCTTTAGGCTTTGTTTCTTTGTCTTCACAAATAAAAATATGGCAAAATAATACATTCCTACTAATGATACTGTCAATGAAAACTTTTAAAGTTTCATGTAGCATTAAATGTTATTCCAGCTTTATGATATAAGCTTCATGAACAGAGACACATTCCTAAGCAGTGTGTATTTTGAAATAAGAAAAAAATAAGAATAAGAATAAAATAAAATCGAAATGCTGAAACAGCACTAAGTCTTAAACCCATGCCAACTTGTGACCATATAATAGATCAGTACAAAGAGGGCTCTTGAGCAGCTTCAGGGATTCCCCTCACATTCAGCCTCAGGACTTTTCCAGGGGGTTTCCAAAAACACTTTTCCAGTAGACCAACAAAAGCAATGCAAGGAAGTTCTCAACTGGCATAAATGGCAGTAACTTTAAATTATGCTAATTTATGCCTAATAAGGTCCATGTCATAGAATTTACATTTAAAACATGTCTTATTAATTCATACTGATTACACTGGCAAATTATAACCAATTATCCCATTTTGGAAGTACATTTCCATGAATAAATCTGATTATATTCATTATACTCTGAAATTCTGGACTAGTTAGATTTTCTGGATCTGACTTATTTCAATGGTATTTAGAAAATAATGTCTTAATAACAATAATTCTTTACAATCTATGGACTATACTTGTATTTTTAAAGATACTCACAAAGTTATTTGTCTAATAAAGTCCAATATATACATTTGGATGCAATTTATATAGCAGGTCTGACTTTTGCCATCAATGATGGCTGAGTGACAGCAGAATTTCACAAAACAAAATAAAACTCTGGGTTGTTAAAGCAGACTGTTAATCTTTTTAAGCATTTTGATTGACAAATTAAGCACTCAAAACTGAATTAAAGCAGTCTTTGCAATAAATCACAGTCACTCTGGAATATTAAACTCAGCTGATTTGCGAGACTGAACACTTTCCTCCATCAACAACTGTGATTTGCTAATGAGGAGAATATTTTCCTTTAGAGACAGTCTATATTTTATAAACTTCCTTGACTGTATATTGAAATAAAACTCAATTTTTTCCTCTCTGGACTTCGTTTTTCTTTTTTATTGTGATGAATTCCTCTATTTTTTATCCTGAACACATTCTCTCAATTCCTCCCCACTGGAGGGCACATGACATACTTCAGTATCAACTGGATGGAAAAAAAGAGCCTTGGGGAAACTTCTCCAGCTACAGTTTCAAAATATTTACCTGATATTTTAAATCACATTTGCCAGTATCCCTTCAGTAATGCTATTAATGTCCCAAGTTTATTCAAATTCCACTGATCCATTAACATTGAAAGTTTATGATGACAGAAGTGATCCTCACAGCAAAGGAGGCCAGTACTGACAGCACAGGGCTGTAGAGCAAGGCTCCACAGACTTTGTGTGATGTCATTCTCACAGACCCTTCCAATTAGAGCATCTTTTGGTTTAGTTTAACACGAAACAGAAGAGTTTGGAATAGACCTGCAGACAACTTTGATCAGCTTTCTCTAACAGCAAAAGTGTCAGAGGAACACACTAAACAGCCACACTAAGCAGATAAAATAACCTGCCTCACACAAGGGTCTTATTTAATCCTTCTTAGTCAAAAACTTGCTCATTTTGAACCTTGAATGTTTTATATCCCCTCCAAACTTAACATAATCTCTGAATACTTTTACTATACATTTAAATGCTCACTACCTCTTTGCATCTTGCTAAATTATTCCACTCCATGAAATCTCATGGCAGCAAGGTTCACAGTTGAGCTGTATGTTACTGCAGAAAAAAAAAGTATTTCCTTAGATCTGCTTTGAATTTGACAGTTTTGAAACACTACCCTAATTCTAATGTTACTCAGGTAATTCACCTTTCACAGATAATTTTTTAATCACACTTCTTTGCCACATAAAAAGTAGTAAAAATTATATTACCTGTATTCATGTGAAGAATGCTTACACATTCTTACACCATTTTGAGATCCTTGTAAGAAAAGTCATTAGCAAAGCACAATTCTCTTTGCCAGATATCATCCTACCTGTTTCATAGAAATGTGTCAAGAGGTCCTCCTTTTCAATGAATCGTTGATAGAGCCAGTTTGTGAGAGCTTCAGGCTCTGCAGGTACATCTTTAACTGGAAAAATCCTACCAAAGAAACAAACATAAATTAAAGCTGGAAAATGTATTCTGCATGTGAAGAATAAAGCTCTTCTCCTTCTGTCTCAGCCCTCCACAAAACACAGAGAACAAGACTTTTGTATTAGTCTAACTGCATGGTTCATGCTTCCTCCAATTCACAGATCACATAGGCATTAAGGATACAAAACTGGAATACTCCAGGTTACCATCCAGAAGCACACAGAAGACAAAGGTATTAGTCTCTATCAAATAATGTACTACAGCATTTGATAAAAGCAAATCGAGTTTTTTAATACAATACCACCACACTATATATATTACTATCCCTAAAAAAAACCACAAAAAACCGAGAAGCAATGAAGTTCATACACTGAATGAAATAAAAGACTGAGAAAACTCATCTGCAGTTTTGAAGAAACATTTCAACAAGCAGAAGTCACACAATGACATCACTAAGTACCAATAGCTCTTCCATACCCCAGAAAACATGTTTTCTGTGCTTTTCAAAGGATGCCAGCAGCTTTCTTTGAAATTTTTAAGGCAAGTTTTACACTGAAAATTGACCACATAAATAATTGTACTCAAATACCGCTGCTCTACTTTGAAAACACCAAGGGAAGAATTATTGATGTTTTGGTAGTTCCATACCGAATACTTTGCTTAGAAAACCAGATATCCAGGCCAGAATTCACTGAGGTACATACATACTGAAACCCCCAAATAACCCACTATACCTCACTGGATTTTTTTCAAGTCTTACAGTAACTGTGAAATCTCCTCAGCAGACCCTAAGTGCCTTTTGATATATACACGAACTTATATATCCACTGTGTTTCCCTGGGAGGCCAGTGCACAAGAGATCTGTGTATCAGGCTGGCCTGAAAAATTCATACTCTGAAATGCAAGACCTTTACTGTAGGTTTCTCTTCCCAGGTGAGCTCCCACTTAGCCTGTCATCTACACCATGCTTCTATTTTCCTTAGTAGATTTTCATTTCATTTTCAACACAGTCTTGACTGACTATACTGCAAAGAATCTGAAGTAACACCACAATCATGTAGGCAGTCTCTGAACAGATATGGGAACGTTAGACTACCAAAATAAGATGCTTCTGAAGAACGCTTTTGTTGCCGTTACAGTTTTCAACATCTTTGCTTCCCCTGTTGCCAAGTCATTTGTCCCTCCTCTCTGTTGTATGATGCGCAGAAGAATAGGCTGTAAGTGAGGGAGATAAGCAGCAAAGCATTGCTCTAATGAGGGAATTAAAAATAATGGTGCTTTGGCACACAGAGAGAGCTCCAACATAAGGAGATGAACAAGTTTATTTACCATCTATGGTATCAACATGAACTCAGCTATTTCTGTAGTCTTTGTAGCAATTATACCTACATCTTCCTCATACTGTGGACTTCTCTGTGCTCCAGTAAAGCCAGTCTCAGAAACCAGAAATTAGCAACTGCTATCTCAGATAAAGTAGCATTTGAAGAAAAGTCTTTGGCAAAAGACAAATGTTATGAAATGCCAGTTCAGTTAACAGCTCAAGTCTTTAGTGTGCGTACTAAGAACAACGACAAAGACGAGCAAAAAAGAACTGTTTTATCTTGAAGCCCAGATGTTCTACAGCAGGTTAAAATTAAACCATGTAGAGGCAAGTAAAAAACACACCAACAGAGAAAGGACCATTTCTGTTGAGGGTATAACTCTGAAAGACTTACTCTTTGTCCCCAAACACAACTGAGTTGCCAAGCACTATTTTTACTCTCTTCTGCCTATCTGCTGTGAAGAGATAAAAAGGCTCAGCAACCGAATATTGTGTTTCACGGTATATTTTTGAAGGACAGATGCTTGCTTACGCAAGTTTTAAGATGGTTGAGAACTAACAAAATGTGTGTGTGGGCTCAGGACAAAAGTCTAGGGTTACCTGGCTTCATATGCAAGCCTCCATAGTAAACTACAGATACCCTTCACCTCTGCGTTCACTTCTCCCTTACCTAATCGGTAAGAACTCTACAACTCAATCACCTAGTTAAGTCTGATATTTTGCCAAGAATGTACCTTCTAGTCTGAAAACATTATCATATGACCTTGCAAGATACCCACTAGAAACAATCATTGAGCTGGCACTTCAATGGAGTAGCAAAGTAGCACAGGTGACACTAGTATTGTGAGAGACCAATGGAACACAGCACATCACTTTTCTGCTTGAATCCATCCAGGCTCTTGTGGGAATCAATAATAGTGCATCATATTTGAATCTCTGGATATAAACTCTGTAGCTAAAAAGGTTAAGAAGCAATCACTGTTACACCCAGTTTGAATGAATAGAGTGGAAAACAACTGGTTTTCCAATAAAGCTAAACTAGCTGCCACAAGTTAGCAATGGTAAGTGCTAGTGTATTTAAAAGCATTTTCAAATGTATTTCTAGATTATCCAGAGTTACTTTTACTGGCAGAACATTCTTACTAATGACTGAGCTAAATTAGAGATTAAATATTAAAAAAAAAAAATCCTCAAACTCTGGAAACAAGCCCTTTCTGTGCTAGATAAGGCAATGCTAAACCCCCCTGTATTTATACTAGACATACTGCTGATATCATCATTCTCTGCCCATCAGATGGCTCAGCTGGCATCTGTGCTTTAAAAGAACACTCTCTTTAAGGAGACTGGGTTCAGGAAAGGTAACTGAGCAAGTCTGTTGTTACAAAACTCTACACAGATGATCCAAAACAATGGCAGGGAGCCATTACTCTGACTGGAGCAGTCATCCCTGGCCACTGGATGTGACATCTGCCAGATCTAATGTTAAAAGATGCAGGAAACGGTTTCTTTTTTTCAATGAAATGTGTTAACAGGTGTCAATGTGGTCAGCGCATGAGCATCACCTTGGCTCTACCCCATCTCTGAGTATGCAGCATCAGGAATGCCATTAGAAGCAAACAGATTGTTGATCTCCTCGGGAAAATAAAACATCATCATCACATAGAACTGCCCAGGCAAGAAACAAGGTCAAAGTGTAGGATCTGAAGCTCCTAGAATCTTTTGGGTTCTTGAATCTTTCCAGCTTTTGGACAAAACTAACCTCACATGGCATGAAAATAAGAGCATCTTTGTTCCCAGCATGGTAAACAAGGAATTTAATAGCACTGGATAAGATAAATTGACCAGAAAATTCAAGTGGAATGGAAATACCTTCTTTCGTTTCTCATCACAGGAACAGCTGGTTTGCTATCATCAGGGGAATTGGGGAAGAGGCTAAAAGCAGTGATACCACAGGCTGCACCCTGAGAAGTTAAAAGTGGTGGTAGAAGTAAAGATGTACTCCAATGAGAATCTGCAAAGCTGTTTCAGTAATGAAGCACCATCTTCTAGCCGGAGGTTCCCTACCAGCAGCTGAGAGGTGACAACAACTGCAGGACACGGGGTAGGTGAGGGACGGTGACTTCCTTAAACCACTACACAAATTTGTATCTATGTCCCAAACCAGAACATATGAGAATAAATGACAGTCCAGGAAAGAAGAAAGGATTTTAAAAAACAGGAGATGTAACTGCTGAAGACGTGTTGGCATACATATGAAATTGTGGAGGATTAGCTACTGATAAGCCATTTCTCAGAAGATACCAAATAATTTTCAGAAATACAGCATTTTCAGAAACATTTAATCTCTCCTAAGTGGTCCTTATTGGAGAAACAACCTCTGATTCTCTATTTAAATTCTGAAGTTCATAGATACCATTAAGTACTACTACCTGCCTTTTATCATCTGTCCTACCATGAATTCAAGTTCTGTATTACCTGCTACTCTTTATAAATCATATTATTACTTGCTGTTTCAATGACTCTAAATAAATTCAGGACAGTGAAGGGTGTTGGTAGATCTCAGGCATGACCAAAATTAAGTCACTTGCGTAAAACAGTATATTAAAATATACTGCCAAACGGGATGCCCTTCACAGACACTTCTGCAAAACTCATTCAACAACCACGACGTATTTCATCTTATTTATAGCTCGGAGCCTCGTTTATTTCAGTAAATCTGTATCAACGTGGACACAAAAAAAGAACCTCCTCAGTAGTTGAAAGCTTGTTTCAAAAGCGGCACAGTACAAAAAGTGGTACGAGGAAGAAAGGTGACAGAGCACTCATTCGCATTATGGCACAAAGACGGCTGAGTTAGCTGGGAATAGTGAGGCACTTTCACACGGCACAGACACAGCACCCTCTGCGTCAGAGGTGACTTGGGCTGGCTCTGACGTCGGGGCTGCTACAGCACTATCCCCGTCACACAGTGCCAAAGTGGGATGTGGTCATCATTAGCAGGAAGCTAATGCAAAAAAACCCAACCCCATGCCATTCCTGAGGGGATGGTCTGCATCAAATAAATTTCGTACACAAGGTTTTTCCAATTTTTAACTCTTGGGTTTTGGCAACAGAACTGCAGGACGTGGGAAATCTTACTATTGGAGAAACTTGGAGACCAGCTGAGAAACACCAAGTCAATTAGACTAAAGAAGTGCTTGGTGTAAGAAGAAAAGAAATAATCCCCAAACTTAAGTCACGGTGAGGAAATGGTGGAGCTGAGAATAGTAGCCAGTACAAGGTCTTGCTACATGTACACCAGACCACTCAGCTTATTTCTGCTGAGTGGAAGCATAAGGAGTCTGAATTTAGGGTCAACACACACCACAAAATGATCCAAGCATAAAGCTAAACCATTGGAGAAGAGGAAACAAATCTTTCCAACAGACTTATTACGAGGCAGGTCTCATAGTGATGCCTCTAGTTTGAGTCTTTGCACCTTCAAGCCCTTTTCTTTGGTGCTTACTGCTTTAACAGATGGATTGAAATCTCCCACAAAAATCCCAGAAACATCTGACCTGGAAGAAGTTCATTAGATATTTTCCTTGAGTTGTTTCAGAGAGCAAACCCAGTTTTGCAGCACTTTCCAATAAGTTTTGAGACAAGTCAGTCAGGGCCAAAAAGTCATTCAATAGTTAGAAGGGTAAAGTTTTTACACTTTTGTGTTTTGAAGATTCAAAATTGGCAAATGTTCTTTTTTCTAGGGAAGTTTCTTTTGACATCCTGAGGAAAATCAGGCCACAGCTTAGCCTAATTATGAACTTCTGAAAAAGATGTCATTTGTACTGAAAATTGAAGTTTGAAAACCAAGGTTCAACTCATTATCAAAATTGAGCCTTTCAAAAAAAATATTACTGGATTAAACTGATCCTTCTATGCCATTTTCATCATCTAGAAAACCATCTAAAACATAAGGCTGCTTGCTGTGTTCTCTACACTTCTCTGTTGCTCCCCAGTAGGATGAAAAAGAAATAATCCTGCAGCGAGGCACAGGCTATGAGAAAAGGAAATCACTAGATTTGAAAGTCTTTAAAGCAGAAAGACACAGGTTGTGATCAAGGGGCACAGCAGAAGGGACTGACTGAGACACCAGAACAAAAGCAGCTCCACAGTCTCCTCTGTTCCAGTTTGAGTGGCAAGAAAATGTTCCTTTTTTCCCCGTTGCTGTCATACATCAATACCTTACTCTGGACTACTCTAAAAGGGAATAAGCATGTTTAAATCCTGATTTTCCTTTCATACAGTAGAGATGGCATGGACAAAACTATTCTTTACTTTTTCCAAAGGGGTGCACTTTTTTTTCCTATAAATTAGTTAAAAGGACAGATGAGAAACCAGTGTGCTCTCTTCCCAGTTATTTAAAAATGACCCTTAAAATTTATTTAAAATGTAATTCCCCAAGACATTCTGAATTTCAAATGATGAGCAAATTTTTATTGCATTAAATTCAGGAAAAGAGGAGAATAACAACAAGCCAGACATACTCGATATACATTTCATGAAAATTTCAGGGGACACCCATGTCAAATGCAGAAAAACAGAAACACACCTCTGAAAGTTTCCATCTTTTTAAAGATGAAGTCCTCTTTACCTCAGGTTTTTCTTTGCTAACTGAGTTTGTTTCAAAGAGTTAAAGAAACTCTTTAACATCAACTTTAGCACCAACTTTACAAGGGACATCTCAGGGCTCAGCACAGTACAAGCTTTTTCAGACCTCAGTCACTGATTCAATCCTTACCAACACTGTTAAGGGCAAAGACTAATTTATTAATTAATTGTAACCAAAATTTAAAACTACTGAGGAACCACCTCGAAATAGCGACCTGCAGTACAAGTGCTGGCATTCCCAGCTGACGATCCCACATACTCTAATGGCTCTGTTACACCAATGTTTTGGTCTCCACAGGGAAGATGACCTTAAAGAAGTAGTTTAGGTTTCCTGGTCAAGCTGTACAGCTGTGCAGATGAAGCGCATCATCCTCCACTCTTGGCTTGACCAGTTCTCAAAGAGAAACACTGTACAGAAACTTCCCATGACACTTTCCAGCACATTAAAAGGTAGTTCTGCATCTCCAAACAAAAGTGGCAGAGACAAGAGGAAGGAGGTTGACATGACAAGGATCAGCTAGCTGGTCACAAAGTACAGCTGCTGGTAGCACGCATTGCTTAACCAGCACAAAGTGGTTTGGTGTTTTTCCAGAACTGCTCCTGACTGAGATGTGACACAGACATAGGCTCAAGACATCACGGTATTTCTGGACAAGTGAGGACACTACCTAGGAGGCACACGTGCAAAGCTCCTGAGAGACAGTTTTCTACTGCCCATACCTATGTTTTCAAAAACAAGCTCTAAGGAATTGATGTCAGCCCACTAGACTTCACTTGCCCGTCTTCCCAATTTTGGAGAAGGTTCAATAAAATGACAGCAGAGCTGTGAGGTTTTCTTTAACACCAGATACCTCCATGAGAGAATGGTTGTTCCCTACTCTTCCCTATCCACCACTCCCAGTTTCCCAGGCACATACTCAGTCTTCACAGGTTCACAGTGGTACCAACAACTCGGTTCAAGTCATCAATACATGATTTGAAGTTGTCAAAAGCCTGAAGGTGCCCAACACATTACAGCACTCTACTAAAAAATAACCCTTAATGAGTAAGATCAGGTGATCTGGGAAAAAATAAAAAAAATCAGTTGTTGTAATGCCCTGGAGGGAATCCAACAGGAAAATTTCCATATAAGCAAAAGAAGAAGATGATGCAACATGAGTAAATTTACGAACACATGCTGTTCAGTCGCTATCTGCTAATCCTGCCGCGGATAAATATAACCTTTACTTAAAACTGAAAAATATTTTTAAAGCCACACAAAAATATCTAAAAATAAATGTTATTGTCAAAAACACTGAAGGTGAAAATTCGTTGTATTATTTTCAAACTACAGCTCTAATTCCAGATACATTGAAAGGTCTTAGCATACTGTATCTAGATGCTACACTAAATCTGGAAAAAAAAGATACAAGAGTGGTATAACTTTTCTGGTATAGAATTATTCTGAGTAGTCAAAGAGAAAGGACATGACCATAGTTGCAGATGAAATTAAATACCAATAAATGCAAGGCAATGAACCCCGACGAAGGAAAAAGCACCAGCAGTTACACATGCACTGCTACAGCCTCTAAGATTAGCTATTATTACTCTGGTAAGTGATCCTGAAATCAGTGTGGGGAATTCAGGATGTCAGTCAACTCACAAACTAGTTACAGCAGAAACAGAAAAAGCACAGACAAAAGTAACAACATAATGAGGGAAAGGCTTTTGTGTAAGGAGACATCAAACAGATGAAGATTGACTGTGTTGGGAGGAGGGATGTGGACAGCTAAGGCAGGATATGAGCAAGCTCTGTAAAATCACAGAGGGCATAACTGAGGAACAACTCATCCACTACTGGCAGGACATGTGAAACACGATACTCCCACTGAAGGCATCAGGAGGAGAACTTTACATGATCAAAAAGGAGATGGTCCTGGTCGCCACCCTCACAGTCAGTTACAGGCTGTCATGTACAAGTCTGAGTAGGTTAAAAGGAGTACTGGAGGCCAGGCCCATCAGCACCTACCAAAAGGGTGTTCCAGAGGCGAGGTTTGCTTAGAACAGGTTACAGCCCCCGCGTGTCCACGTGCAGAAGGATGGGATGGCACATGGGCAGCCTTCCCACGCCTGTGCTGCTACTGCCCACTGTCAGGGCCAGGGTACTTTGTTAAATGCATCTTTACCAATTCCTACCCTGCATCCAACTAAAGCCCTTGCAGTTGAGAGGGTATCTGCCTAAAGAATTACCAGGACCGGAAAGTTAGCCAAAGCTCCAGCTAAAACCAAGACACCCTGTTCTCATTTCAGAGGTATCACACCCTGCACTTGGCCTTCAGAGGATGCTGCTGCATGAGTTTCCATTTGGGGCATACTTCAAATGTTTTTACAAGGTCAACCGAAACAACTAGAGGTTATTAAAAAAAAGTAAAATAATCAAATAGAGAGACTTGGTCCATCTAAACCAGTGATTTAGACCCTCTGGAAGAAAACAACAAACCTACATGCAACAATAAATTTCTGATATTTTTCTTAGAATTTCAGTACTTCAAGAATTTTAACATTCAAATTCAATCTATGGAAGGTTGCATCATATTTATGCTTGTGCTCAGAAATAGGTTTGAATATATATTTAGAAGCAGGAAGTTAATTCAACTTAAGATAACTTTCTCTTGTTTTTAAAGCAAGTATTTTTGGAAATACTCTTTAGTAGAATTCTAAATACATCTAACTTGCAATTATCCTAGAGATTTGAGAGAGTACTAAGGTGACCTGAATAAAACATAATGGATAAAATGATATCTTATATAAATTAGGGTGTACTTATGTTCACCTTCAGAAAAACTTGGAAGGCAGCTTTCTATAAAAAGTAAGGACAGATTTAAACACGGCTGTGGAAAGAAGCTCCAGTGAGCAGCCTGCACTCTGCATCACACAACACTGACACAACAGTGATGCTGCAGAAGGTCATTCCCACCTAAAACTGCCACCCAGGGGATCCACACTAGGATATCTGAAAGCTTACTGTAAAAGTCTAAAAGCTCCCCAAATCAAAAAAAGGGAATAAGACAGAATTTTGGGATAAAATGCAACAACTTATTTATTATGGTAAAAGTGTTAAAATACTTCTGGATATTTCAGACTTGCAATTAACTGCAAACCAAAAGTAAAATGTAACTTTTCTCTCCCTCAGTTTAGGTCTTGAGACAAAGAACTACTGAGGAGAAAAGTTTTAATAATCTCCCATTCTAGGTGTTAATGAGCATTGCTACTTTTTCCAGAGTATTGCTCTGCTCAGGAGTATGGTTTGAGCGAAAAAACTGATATTTCTTTGTCAGAAAGTTAAATATAATTATCTCATAGGAAACTTATTTATTCAACAACAGGGATTTTTAATTTGTTGTCATTATTAAAAAATAAAATAAAAAATAAAAAATCAAGTTGGGTTTATCAGCACCTTAATGTTACAATGGAAAAAATGACCTAGCCTTCAAATATATTCCCCATGACTGTGTTCAGATGAGCTGCCCACCTGTGTGAGACACATTAAAAAACCTCTCATTGCTATTGATTTCCCATATCCTGAAACATGATGCTACTAATCTGTGAATACTTGCTTTTTAATATTTGAGTTCAATGTAAGAGTAGAAGGTTTATTTCCTACCTGTAATGTACATGTGTGACTGTTGGTTGTCGATAGCCAAGAATCCAAGTTTGGATGTCTATAGGTTCGCCTTTGGGATACGCGATAGTTGTATCTATCACCCACTGGAGGCCTTTTGCTTTGCTCTCTAGGAACAAAAAGAAATGGGGTATTAAAGGTAATCAGAAAGTGCATGTCACTTATTTGAGAGTTATTCAATTTTTATATTACTTTATGAGGTATGAGGCACAAATAAAATAAGACCTTCAAAAATCAAATTCATATTTCATTAAAGAGCACAGAAACACTCTTAGAAACTTCAGTCAGACCTAGATTTTACTTTCATGGTTATTTCTCTTGTTCCTACATACTGTAGTACACAAAATAGAACAAGTACTATAGCGTATGAGTACAGTCATGTGATATATTGGTCCCAAAGTTAGGTGCTTCCCACCCTTCACCAAAAGTGAAAATTCCAAAATAAACATTCAAGCCTCTTGGTCTGCACTTCAAGCACCTTTACACCTGGGCCTTTGTAAAACTCGCACTTGCAGCTCACTGATGGAGCAGCAGCCATGCAGATCCCTCAAAGGTTCTTAAAAATCTGAGTTACGGCATAAAGAGGAAATCACCACTTTGTGTATTCAGGATAAGAAAGCAAGGAACAGAAGATGGTCAGTTTTCAAAATGGAGAGGATACTGCATCCACAAGGTCCCAGGAAAGCCTGATACCAGTACATGCTCATATGCTGCTCAGTATATTTAGAAACTGAAAAAAGGATCAAAGGAGGTGAAAATATTTGTTATGAAGATTATTCAGGAGAGTCAAATTTAAATCTGAATATAGGTTACTACCAGCAATAGTTCAGGTCATATATCAACCTAGCCACTACACCTCTCTCTGGCATGTCTTCAATTCACAGGTTTGCAAAGAGGGAGAGAAGCAGATCTGTAAAGCAAACCAGGAAAGAGGGGCACATTGCCAAGATGACGCTTTGAGTTTAGCTTGTCAGTTTTTATATCTATTCTGGAGCTGCCTTGTATTTGAGGTCATTGTATGTTCAGGCTAGTATAGTAATGCTCACTTAATCACACTTGATACACTAGTATAGCAATATGCTTACATCATACCCAGCAGTATCTTCAAGTATTCAAAAAGCTGACTATCAAAAACAGCCATCCACTGGCAAAAGCAAGTAAGAAGTGTTAGCTTTTAGTACAAAGTACAATACTCTTCAAGCCTGCAGCTAAGATAGCTATGAAACAACTATAAGAGAGGCTGACAAGAACACTGTCAGCATGAAGGAAATGTACAGGGATTGACTGTTCACCATCTTTCTCAATACAAGAACAGACGTATTCAAAATTAAGCCGAAAGGAATAGTTTTCAAAGCAAACAGAGAAACAATTTTTTCTGCTGATGAGAATAAAACTGTGGGGAATCCCTTGAATCCCTTGTTAAAGGATGTCAAGAGGTGGGTTCAAGAGGGAATTGAACAAGTACACGGAAGAAATCCACTGGAGGGTTAACTAACCAGGCAGAAAATTCCCATTTGGCTTGGGAAACTTATCACACAGGAGACAGTCAGAAGCTAGGAGAATATGTGGGAGAAGTATGATGCATGTTTGCTGTGTTCACACTCTTCCTCTGAAATCCACTTGAAGCCATGCACAAGATGTTGGGCTAGACAGATTCTTGGTCTTGCCCAGAGTCACCACTCTAATTTTACAGAAGACCTATGACGAAATCTGCAACACACAGTCTGAGTAGCACTCAAAAAGCCACCTTTATTAACTCCAACTAGAATGCACATGCAAGGACTGACTTGCGAGTTTCTACCTGCATTTAATTTAATTTAATTTGCATTTAATTTAATTAAGTGTGAAAAGACAATTACAGCAATACTATCACATGTATCTATCAATTATTTTAACAAGCAGCTGGTGTTTTCATGGTGTCTACTCATCAATGGAGTGGTGCTGCTTTGTTACAAATGCACGTGTACTACTTGAGTCAGGCTAGACAGCATTTCCTAAAATTTAGGTTATGAGTTACTAGCAGCATGCAACATGCCATTCCAAAATTTGACCAAGGGCAAGCTACACAGGTCAAGCTGAAACATTCAGTGCTACCTTCTGGAAATACAGTATTTTAAAACTCTGACAGACACGTGAAATGAGAACACAAGGTCCCATTAGAGGCTCCAGGCTTGCCAGCATCATGACAGAGTGCTTGTCAAGTCTCTCTTAAGCAAGGTACTAACTACAGAATCCTTCATTTTAGAAGTAGCAATGAATCAGAGAAAAGCCAATATGAAATTAAAAGTAAATCCACAGAAGTATTCATTTAGAAATAGATTTCATAACAAAGTAATTCAATTTATTATTTTCCCAGATGTAAAGCAAGAATGGATAAAGACGAGTAAATTGTCTGAGTAAGCAACAAAGATCTTTAACTGCAATTAAAAAGTGCCAGATGAAATGAGCACATTATCTTATTATTTACAGTAAAGTGTTTTAAAATAATTTATTAAATATTTAGCTTGTACTTAAAGCTGTTCTTTCAGTGGATAATGGTTTGAACTTCATTAAGGGAAGACTCCTGCAGTCCTCTGCTGTGCTGATTTCCTACCATCTGCTTTTGTGGAGCAGAGCTGCTGCAATGGATTCCTCAGACCAGCTCCAAACTCACCTCTAACCCCTTTCAGGGCAGGGTGGGGAGAAAAAACTCTGACAGCCCAGGAACCCCAGGTTAGAAAAAAAAATAAAATTTCTGAAGCTAACATCAGCCTCCACAGATCCTCCTCTAGAGCAAGCAGGTCTCAGTGCAGCTACCTCCACGTGCTATCAAATCACAGTCACAAGCCTATTTGTGCATGCTCTGGTTTAAAATAAGCTTTACATAATCATCCAAGATCTCAGACTGCCAAAAAAACTTAAGTCACGAAGGATTTAAGAAAATTAATTTTGAAGTAAACCTTGATGTCCTTTTGGAGGGGTTATACTATGTTGCACCCTCCTCATGAGCAAATTTATTTTAAAGCCAGGAAGCTCTGACAGATGTTGAAACTGAAAAAGAAACAGACAAGTGCACAAGACACAAAGGGGTAGGACCTTAATATCTCCAAGGATGCTGCTTTCAGGCCTGAGCAGACTTTTGAACAAGAATAAACCCTATTACATTTTAAATGGAGCACATTAACAGGAGCTCAAAACAAAAAAATTGCTGCATTACTTAGTATGGCGTGAATCTCAGGTCCGGCATTTGCAGCTGAGAAAACAGGGAGCTGTGTATACCTGCTCAAGAACTCCCTCTGCCAAGCTTCTAGTACTTGCTGAAAGATTGAGCAGCCTGGCTGCTAGAGACTTCAGCTGAAAAAACTGCTGCAGAGGCCATATTTAAGCTGGTCTCTCCAAGCACTAGTTTTTCTTCTGTGGTGTCAGTCTGCTTTGCCACTGGTGGAAGACTTTGATTTCTCAAACTGCTTCAAAATGTTAAGTCTGTTTCTCTTTAAATAGCACATAAATGTTCAAAACAGGCTCACAGGCACTTGTCCTATATATTTGCATCCAAACCACATAGTAATAACATACCTTAGTATGAATGGTACAAACTTGCCTTATGAGTGCTAAGACAAGACTGAACAATCACATGTAACAGCAGCTTTCTGGCCTAGACAGAAAGACCAAAAAAAAAAAAAAGAGAAAAATTCAAAATAAAATTTAAACAGTTTCCTAACTTGTTTGGGTTTTGGTTTGCTTTGTTGTGTTGTTTTTTTTTTAAATTACCAGCAGAGGCAAGTCTTCAAAGCTATTTTCTTCTTTATTTTTGTTCTAGCAGTGGGTTCAGTGATATTAAGTTGTCCAAATTTACTTAACAAGCAACTTATCATCAGCATCTTTAAGACATTCAGTGATCTGTCATCCTCTATGATCCTCTCAGGGCAGATACTTGACTGTCTACAATTACAAATTTATTGTGGTTCAGAGTTTCTTTTCATTCTCTCTATGTTCTCCCTGGGGTTACTACTCCCTGAGGTCGACTAATGCTAAAAAATGGATTAGAGCATGTGCAGAACTCCTCAAACCCGCCAGCAGACTGTCAGTGTTTACCACTGAGAAAAAGAGCAAGTTATAAAGATGTATTTTAGCAGGAAACTTTGCCTTCAGCTGAGCTCTAGACGGTGCGACACTGTCAGACTGAATCCAGAGTGGAAAAGGATGTACTAGCCAGGCGTGAACTTGAGGACGGCAGCCCGCACTTGAAAACCAAAATATTTACTACCACTCACTATTATTCAGGTGTGGTTTCCTGAACACTTGCATCACCCTGAATGCAGCCAAAAGAGGCTGTGGCCTCCCCCTGCAGAGCAATCCATTCTTGTAACTTGTCCCTTGTTCTCTACTTGTCCTTGTGTGATCAGCTGGATCACTGACCTCAGAATTAACTTTTTTCTCCAAAGATTAACTCTCAGACTAAATATCTTACTCATCATTCCAACATCTTGCCGTAACAAATCACCTGGAACAAAACAAGAAGCTCTTTTTCCAGGACAAAAAAAAAAGAAAAAAGTTTTACATGTTATTCAAATCATATTCCTTATACAACAGCAAATAAAAAAGTTTGCTTTAAAAAAAAAATCAATTATCAGTGTCCAGCTCTGCAGAAGGGCAAATGGAATTCCTCTGACAAAAAGCATCAGAACTGAATGTACTCTGCTGCATTTGAAACCAGTAAGATAAGATTTCAATACGGCTCTAATCAAGCTCATAGCAACTTGTTATCAGACAAAAAATGGCTGCATGGTAAAATAAGACAAGTTTTAAAAAACCATACTAAAGTAAGGTTGATCAAAAATAAGCTCCGGAATGTATATCTTTGAAGAACAATTTCTCCAGACTCCTTTGAATTGCCAGCTGTTTGACATTTAGGACATTTTGTTACTTCTAAAGCTCAGAAGATTAATTCTTATCAACTGCAGAAACACTGTATTTGCAACCATGTAAGGGACTAAGTGTTCTGCTGAAAAAAAAACAAAAAAAAAAAACAAAAAAAAAACCCCAAACCATAAAATACCCCTGCAAACACACATATTGGTTCCTACAGGGCTAAGGTGAGGATGGTCCATACAGGGTTAAGGTGATGATGGGTATTCATTAAGTATTTTTATGCTGCCCATATTTCTATACTGCACTAACATCATCTTCTGGAATGTGAGCAGTGCTTTGTTTGGGTGGCACTGCACATCTGCCCAGAGGGATGCTCTCATCAGACATCACAGAAGTACCTTATACTATCTTTTAAGGGACAGACATCACTTAGCTACCTTCTTTGGACTATTTACCTTCAAACGTGTCACGCCTTCAAGTGATAGTACTACCTTTCCTATATTTTCCCATCCTTCTATTTATTTAGGAATAAAATTATATAATTTCATTAAATTAAACAAGAGTTTCAAAAGGCAGCAAAAGCAACAAGTGTTCTAGTTGTTTAATTTAGAATTTACTAGTAAAAAGTTAGAATTCACCCTGATGAAGACTAGTACTTGGGACTTTAAATACGAATGAAAACTGTTAGGAGGAGGAAATTAAGATAATAGAGGCTGCTTGCCTTGGAAAATCCAATGATAAAGAACTGATCAGTTGAAGTATAAGAATAATCAAATAGTAGCTCAGGAACATTCGTTCTTCCTGCTACTTTACAGAGGAAGAATCCACTAATAAACTGTGGCAAATTTATAACCAGCACAAAAATAAATTGAAAAGGGGAATGGATATTAAGAATACTAGTAGCATAATTAGACTTATGAATTTTTGGGGAGGTTACTGAACCTCACACTTCTCAACATAAACCTACCTCTACCAAAGGGATGACATAAATCAGATTAAAGACCATACAGAAAGACAGATGATGTAACACTGAGCTACAATTAGCCCAATTCTTGAACTACTACTTGAAGGCCACAACTTCAGTGACATGTGACGTACAAAAGCCAGCTGGGCTGAGGAGCTGGGGTGTGACATGATCAAACAACTTGGTATTTGACTTGGTTTGTGCCACATGTGGTGCAGCATCTATAACAGCATATTAAGAATGAACCATCTTTTATTACAGTTGCTTTTGTCATCTTTTCTTCCTTCACCCAGTATTATACTCAATTCCAGCTCAGAAAGCAGAATGGTATAAAAGCTGCAAGGATCATTTAAAATGAATTAAGTACTAATAAATGACAGCAGTCAAGAACACCACAACTGTGTACCATGACTCATCATAACACAGCTACCCAGGAAACTCCACAGGAAGGGAACATAATTTTTGATGAGGAGTTACTCTAATCTATAAACCAATTTAACTAAAATCAGGTGGGAGAGGAATGTGAATTCCCATGAGTATCAATAAAGCTTGGTGGGAACAAAAAGACAGAGAGAATAATAAATAATGGAGAAGAAAGCTTATTATAGTAAGCTGAATAATTTGGTAACCCAGGACACCGGGAGCACTATTAAGTAAGCCAGTATAGAGCACAAAAAGAAGTGGTGCAGAGGAAAAATGTTTTCAATGAACCATGAAGTTCAAGTGTGATGCTACTGACAAAGAACCCGTTTCCCAAGCAAGGCAGCACAGTAACAATGCACAAAAAGTTTATATACAGTCACTATGGAATTCACTGGCAAAACCCTGACTGTATACAGCACATCTAGCTCCAGCACCCACAACTCAACAACGGTAACCTGAAGAGGATGGAAGTTTGATTTCACTGAGCTGGGATTTTCACGTGATTAAAAAAAAGGAAAGAAAAGAGATTAAAAGTAAAGATGATCAATAACTTGTTAGGCTTCTAACTTTAAAATATAACCCTATTAATTTATACAACTGTATTTCATTGAAGTGCACAAACATTTTCTGATGTGGCAAGAGAACAGTAAAAGCCTTTGAAGGGCAGAAGATTAGAGGAAGAATGATTTATACAAGATACAAATCAAGAATTAACATTTCATACATCTCTGAAAGGGAAGTTTTACAATGCTAGAAACATTTTTGTGACCTTAAAAGAAGCAAGGACAAAATACCTCAGTGTCATTACCTATCAAATATTACTTTTTCCTTGCATATAAAATTTACTTTCACTTTTCTTTTTCATCCTTTTTAGTATGTTTTCAAGCCCATTACTATGAGAAAATGACAGCTAAACCCACACATTTCGTTCCTATTTTTGCCCACTTATCTTTTCTTCTGTCTTTTAAATAGGATGGACAGACATGGTTCCATTTTATTTCTGAGATAATTTCTTTATTTTAGTATCCAGTTAGGTCAACTACTATCAAGTGCTCATTTCTCTGGAGTCTGAATCATGCTACTCAAAAAAAAAAAAAAAGCCAGGTTTGATGGTCAGCTATGTTGATAGCAATCTAAGAGTAGGAAAATATAAAACTGGTATTTGACAAGTGCTTTTGGTCTCCTTCCAGAACTAGAAGATTTGTAATTCATTTGGGGAACTTCTTACTTTTCATACCTTTTTGCCTTTGAGACGGGAAGAAATAAAACAGGAACAGGTCAAACTTTTCTCCTCAAAAAAAACCTTTTTAACAAGGACTGGGGTATTCAGTTTCTCTCTTTTAAACCTAAAATGTTTAATGACAACAGCTTTTTCAGCCTTTCTTTTCTGAATATTGCCTGACAGGAAATAGTCTGATGCATTTCACAGCTTGATTTTTCACTTCATTTTAAATTCTACCTTCACTCCTGCAAGAACATCATCTCAATTTATTTCCTATGTTGACAAGAATAACTTAAAAACTAAAAATCTGGAAGCAATTTCTGTATGAGAGTTCTTGCTAACCCTGAAATTTGAACTTCAGACAAAAAAAACCCCAAAATCCTCCGCATCTGTGGCTTCAGTAGTATGGATCTTTGTTTCAAATCACTAAACAATTATCAGAATTTGGCTATAGAAACACCAACACCACTCATCAGTAAGAAACTACTACAACCCCCCAATCCATTGTTTCTATAATAAGTAACAGAAATCCACAACTAAGTTAAGATCTAACCCTGGTCTTGAACGTGCCAAGAAATTAATTTTAAAAATTGAGAGACTAGAAGCACCAAGTCCCATAACTACAGGCATTATTTATATCCCAGCTATACCCTCCTCTAGCCCAGGCACCCCAGAACAATAATGCTGCAGGAATATCCTTATTCTCTCCTAACTCTTCTGACATAAGACAGCCAAAACAATCCTTCAAATCTAGTAATCAGTGACTTAACTCCAGTAACAATAGGGATAGTCAACATAAAGATCTGTAAAGAAGAGAATAACTCGAACTCCATAGAAAATAGTTCAAGAGGAGGAATAAAGTATACAGCACTGGATGCAAGAAACTTTTAAAGTCAGGAATAAAAATATGAACACAGTTAGCATATTCCAGAAATACTTTTACTATCATTCCATGCTATCACAAAGCAGTGCAAACCATCAATCTTGCTGAAAGGAGCAGCTCATCTTCTTGCTCACTCTGGGTACCTATTCCAGTATCTGCTTTACCCATCATGTGAACCAAGCCATGCATTCATGCAGCCACACCACAGAATAAATCAAATTAAAAGTAAAATTTTATTCCCTTTCTCTTTTTGTCTCAAGGTCAAATGAAAACATTTATATAAAATACAATGGTCCATTCTGAATGTATTTGACATTTGAAGAGACCAATTCAACATAATGTTTTTCTTAACTCAAACCTTTGACATTCGATTTGCTTTTTACCCAGAAGAGCAAAGTGGTCTTTACCTTTTATCACAGCATCTCCACCGGCTGGAGTTCCATTTTCTTGTGGTGCTAGAAGTGTTTTCAGAATTACTTGTGTTGCCCCAAGTCTTGGCAGGGTGACATGTTTAAGAAATGGCAAATTGTTTTTCTTGGCAAATGCCTGGCTTGTTTCTCTCCTTTTCCTAAGAAAGCCACCCTCTGGAAATAAAACAATCCATTTCCGATTGCGGCTCCTGTAATATTTTTCTAGATGATCCTTGAGTAACACAAGCTGCTGGTCACGGTGTGTTCTTCCCTATAAAGATAAAACATTATCTAAATAAAATGAATGCTTAAAAGTAATAACACCAGACATATTGTTTCTAAGATTTCTCTCTTTTCATAGATACAAACAAGCCCCTAAGACAATAAAAAACAATGTTCTCCTTTGAGCACATCCTGGTGGCCAAACTAATGCCACTTTACAGAAAGGCTGACAAAAAGCCCCTGAAATTGAAGATGAAGCTCCTGATTTGATGACTTCTCTGCAAGAGTGACATCCACATTGTATGTGGGACCTTCACTTATGTATTTATAGAATTCCCTCATTGTTACTGGGCCCAAAGCTGAATTTGCTAAACTGAATTCTATAACACAGTCTAGGGGTCAAGCTATGACTTTGAGGTCTACGTATAATCAGTAATTTCTGCAAGCCAAACAGTGTCTCTGCTTACACTGTCTCCCGTGCACCTCTCCCCGCCCCCCATCCCGCACCAGAATTGCAGAGGTACCACGGACAGACCAGGCCTCAGCTCAGTTACCACAGCAGGACCACAGATTTCACTCACATCTGCACTGCTTGAACAACTCATTCATTTCTCCTCTTTGATCTATTAGCACAACTTTGTCACTTAAGACAGCAAGTACATTTCTTAATTACTGCAGAAATATCTTCAATAACAATCTTCTCTCTTCCCATCTCTGCACACACGAAGAGCAAGCTACTCAATTTTTCAGAGGAATCTGTTTACATTAATTATCATTTCAGAGTGCTCCGAAGTGACTTTGTCAAATCACTCAAAAGACACAGGAGTCCAAAGAAAGCTCTTCTCAGCAGAGGTGATTTTAATTCTCTGAAATGTCAACAAAACTTGACACAAACCTTGCACTCTCTGGTGGTTGGTCGGGCTTTTTGGGCAGAGTAAGGAAGAGGGAAAGAGGGGGGTTGAGTGAAAGGTAACAAGAAACAATATTTTACTGAAGATGAGTTTTGTGAAAGTGTTTCTCCTAGATTTAAGTCTCACTTCCAACTTACCTCATGAGAGGGAAGCAAAAAGCTCTGCCTGCTCATATTAATGCAATTAAAGAGCAATATAAAAGTTCCTTGGTTAAACCAGTCCTTTCTCATCAGACCACAGGACTCCAGGATAACATAACAGTTAAGAAAAGAGCAGTGAACAATAAACTTTTCACATTAGATACTAGAACTCTCCAAAACCTAAAAAAACCCCTAGCAAATATGACTGGTGAACAAACTGCAGTTTTGCAAATACCCTGAGGTTTAAGATGCTGCTGCAATAAAGGAGAGTTTACTGGAATAGTTGAAAAGAGTGGAATGTTTAAAAGCAACTGTATTTAGTGGAACACTGAGGAGTCCTGGAAGATAAAAAGCAGTTAATACACTCTCCAGAAAGAAGAGAAAGTAATCCATAGAGAAGTAAAAGCAGGTCCTTAACACAACCAGTTCTTTAAAACCATGGGTAGCTGATCAGCATCACAAGGAACAGGCTCAGCTATCTTTATAGGAAAGAAGACAGGTAGTAGCAGACTGCTGACAAATTCTTTAGAATGTCATGTGCTTTTTTACCACCAACATGGTAAGCTACCAACAGTCTCGGGAGAAAACACTACTCAACTTCCAGTCGACGTCAGAGGGATTCCTAAAGCTGCCATTGGCTCTGGTCATGAAAATGAGGCTACTGTACATTTTTAACAAACAAGATGCACTGCACCACGATCAAATTACAATATTTTACAGGGAAAAAAACAAAGTATTTGCTCATCCAAATATTACTAGGGCTTTTCTAGAGCTAGGCAAAGGATCATTACTTACTGAAGTGTTTTTCCTACACCCAAAGGCTAACTTAAAGTCAAGAAGCATTTTATTTTCAACTGGTTTATACTTAGACTCATGATGATGTAATCTTATTTCTGATGTTGCGTATGTGAGTCACTTTACAAAAATAAAGAAAAGCCTTAGATTTTGCCACCCAGTAATGGTTTGGGTTTGTAACTGGAATTGCAACACTACATTCAGAAGTTACAACTACAAGCTGACAGCCGTGTGTACCTCAAAATGTGCATCTTGTGAATTCTAACTACTAAAACAGATTTGTATTTTACATTGTCACATCCTGTTCCTTTCCATATTCTCACAGTATACAGCTGTATACCTCTAGAGACCTTTGTTTTATTATCTAATTTTGCCTGAGGTTTTCTAGCCATGCCTCTAGTCTGCGTACAGCTTTGATTAAGTATTTCTTTACTTCATTCTGAGAAAACTAGCTCCTTCTTCTCTGCAAAGTGATAATTCATTAATTCTCTCTGGCTGTCCATACATTTTATGTCCAGACAAATAAAAATACGGAGAGGAGAAAACATGTATGCTAGATACGACAGTTCACATGACTGCAGCAGGTTCATGCTTATCATTATCCATCTAAGTTTCTACTTCTAGAGCATAGGCTATCGAACAACAAAAAACCCCACCCAGACTGTATGAAAAAAATCTGAGGCTTTCACCCAATATTTCCCTTGCTGAGTTCAACAGACATTCTTTCCTGATGCTCAAAAAATAACTAACCTTAAAAAATTAATTACTATTTATGCAGGTCCATCACCACCTTGAACTGGTCCATTACCACGTCACCATCAAAAGGGACAGTCCTGCCTTTACTTATTTGAAACTCTGACAGTCAGAACATGGACTTAACTAGACTTTTTGCACGGCTTCAAAACCCTAAGGAAAGACAAGAGGTGACGACAACAACAGGTGCTCAGAAATACAGAGATAAAAAGTACTGTCCATGTATTTTCCTTGAACACCACTCTCATAATAGGCTCCCATCACAATTGGATTCCATAAACATTTGTGTCCAAGCAAATAATAAAATTAGCTTGGAAAATAAAGCAGTTTCAGAACAAAGACCTCTCCAAATATAAACTTCAAAGCATAGTTATTTCATCCTGCAAACCATCCAGGCGGTAATAAGTAAGTCCCATAACACCACAATGTTCCAAATATAAGGATAAATCAGAGCACTATTATGTGTTTCCATTTACCTGTCTTATAAAGAAGTCTCCATGGATTAGAGACACAATGCCAAAGTTTGTATACTTAAAAATATGATCCATCAGCCACATCATCTGACGGACAACCTGAAAAGTAAAAAAAAAAAAAAAAAAGTTTTGTAAATATCAGTTGCAGAGAATTACATCTATACTGGTCACATTCTTGTCACTCTTGCAACAGCAATAAAACTAGCAAATATATAGAATAAAGTCCTTTATGTTCCAAAGTATAGAGCAACACAGGTGCTACACTTCTCCCTCAAGAGCAGGATTAAATAACTGCCTTTTTGTAATATAATACAGAGTTCTACAATATTAGCCGTATGGTAGTTATTTCTACTCCACCTTTTCACACAGGTAGTGTAATGCTTCTTATTGACACATGACCACAATTTTAAGCCAGTTGCAAGTTAAAATCATTTTTAATGTTTGTTAAAGTACACAAAACAATACAGTTGTATTTGAAACCTCCAACTGCTTTACATCTACCACACAGACAAGTTTCCTTACATTATTTTGTACTTGGCAATTTTGGGGATAAGGTCATGCTGTTCTCACGCTTCCGATGTGCATATGCTCCATATGCTCTCAGTCTCTGAACAGCAGCATTCACTAAGACCTTTGTACAACCCACGTGCCATTAGCAATGTCTCTCATGGTAGAGCAGCCACATGCATCCCTGAGAATTTAATTACATCCTATTCCTTGTCCCAGCCAAGCAGCACGGTGAGAAGGCAAAAACAAAGGCTGAGCCACTAGATTCACTTATACCATTACTTCTTGCAGGACAGCGAAGGCAGATTCTTTACCTGCGCAATCCTTTGAGATTTAAAATACAATAATTACTCCCAATGAAGTAAGTAACAGAAGGGAAAAGCCTCTCCTCTCACAAGGTCTTTCCCTTCTATCGCTCCTACATGCAGATTTTGAGAAGGGTAGGAATTAGGTCTCCTAAATTGGAAAATCCAGTGTCTCTTACACGCTCTCAGTCATGGACTAGGCTAGCTGCCTTTATTCTTCCCTTTGTTGTGAGGCCACACCAAGACTGACTGAAGTCATGTAACAAGGTACTCTTCCATTTGTCATCATAAAAAAAATAACATGAAGAACCACGACATTTCTCTGGTAGTCAGATGATCATTCAGGCACCTTCTGCTTTGCATCTTTCAGTTGCCTACAACACATACTTTCAAGCAAAGACAGAAAGAAAGGAGACTAAGAAATAAAGATTTCCCCTAGAAAAACCAATGTATTATTTATGTATTAGTCAATTACATCTACTACTTGAGTGTACTCTCCAAACACCAGAGGCTTGCACAGTAACTGAAATACTCAGACTCCACATCCATGCCTTCAAAGTATTTCTAAGAAAATAGTTTGATGCAGTGAGCTTTTACTTGTTTCCACATCTTCATATGTCTACATGAAATTTGTAGAAAGAAGCAGATCACACTTTATGCAGGAATTCTGTTTTGTAAAAGCAGCTCCATAATTTGCAATTTCTATCTATGCACGTATTGTTAAGTCTTTCTTCCAGAGAGATCTAATTATCTCTTTGAGTGTTCTCATTACCTATTCTCACTTTTGACCACAGAAGCTGTAAGTGAATTGTGCATTATATATCTGGAGAAAGGTAACTGTCACATAGCCCGTTTCTCTTAAGTAAGAGAAGTCAGATGTTCAGCAAAGTGAAGTTTTTACACACGTGTAAGAACATACCTGTGTCATAGAACCTGTAAGACACATTATAGCCTCAGACATAAAATGATGTCCCAGCAAAATCTGAATGTCACATTTAGAAGCCGTCTAGCCTCACCTAAGAGCACATGAAGATGATCTTAACTTTTGTTTTAATGCTACCAAGTACCAGATCTTGAATGCAAAAGCACCCATTTCTGGACCCTCTAGCATATCTGGAAACCACAGAGAGAAAAGGACAGCTCTCAAAGATATGAAAGGTTCTGCTTTGGAAACAAGCATTCATCTCTTCTCCGTGACATGCTAGTATCCCTTCCTGTCTGCCAATGGTATTCCTTAGTAGATGGTATTCCTATGCTATTCCTGTACATCCAAAGGAACAAAGGCACACTATGTATTTGTGAATGACAAAAGAAAAATTATTTCCTAGGTACAATTCCCCACTGGAGACTAATATTGGGGAAATGGTTTATCCTACAGCTATCTCCAGGTCTGCGGAGAATAAAAGGCAGGATCTTAAAGCAACAATTCTTCTCTGCAGATATTCACATTCTTTCCATTTCAGTAAATTAAAAAGCCTTAGGGAGGGAAAAAAAAGAAAGAAAAGGTGTACCCTAAGGACAACAGTTAAAAAAAGGCATTATTGAGAGGTGTTACTGCTCTTCAAGGTACTACAGTGAGTTTATGCCCATGCATAAGCCCAACGGTGACAGGCTGGTGTAGGGAACCATATCCTTGGATAAAAACACCACCAACGTTTCACTAATTATGATTTAGCCTGCAGCAGTACTCAGGTCTGTCAGTGTTTATCTACTGCTTTGGTATTTTGACAACTATTGTTCTATTATATCAAGCAGAAGTTTAACCAACATAATCTATTTTACTGGAGAAGATAAGCAAGCTTAATTATCCGCTTCTCTGAAAGAAAACGTCTTTTGAGGAGTCAACACTGGTCCCTATATGTTCTATGAAAATCCTGGAGGAAGAACTCTTGCCCAGCAATGTCAGGGCTTCTCCCCTACCATACCACTTTTTACTGTCTTTTTCTTTAGATGATGGTAGGTTTACCCTGAAAGTTGATCATTGCTCTTCAGAATCTGAAGTCCAACTCACCATATTTTAGGTGACACAGTGCTTCTAACTAGCATCCCTGGACATCCTCAGTCTTTCTGAGAAGGAATGACATGATTGTGTCACAGATAAATGTGACATGTAAGTTATAATTAAGACAAAACATACAGACAGTTTGCTGTGTGTGGGCTACAAAGAGAAAAACTCCAGAATCCAGTGATAATAAATCTGCCTATAAGCCTTGACAGTGGTAAGAAGTACAAAGAGGAAATATTTTTATTTATGAACTCTAAGACATGAAATCAAAAAGGAGTTCAAAGAATAGGACACAATTATCTCGTTTGCAATCAAAAGGCAAACTAGATTAATGGATATTCATTCTGTTCTGCCACCAAGGGCAGAATAGAGGACACTGCAAGATACTGGTGGTGACTATTCTATTTAGTATCCTCAGGAATGAAACAACGCTTATCAGATGAGTCTCTTATCACTTGCATTTTCAAGGAGGTTTAGGCAAAGACATTCAAAAGTGTTTTGAGCACAGATTCATAGTTGTTTATGGATATGAAGAATTTCTGGATGTCATTTAAGGTCCTTTTTCTTTCATCCTTCCTGCTTAAATAAGTTCAGAAGGTAGAAAAAGCTTTTACCAATTATAGGAAAAAATCTAGGTGCCTTCTATTCACAGACTCACTTTCATTTCCCTCTACACAGATTTCATAACAAAGCAACCTGGATAGACTGACTTTCATCTTTCAAGCACCTCTAACTTAACAATGAAACCTGGGAATGCATGTCTTGAAATATGCACTCAAACAGCTGCAAGCTCTACTTTTTTGTCTCCACTGCACCCTTCCTAGCACTGCTTTCTGTTAAAATAAGAAAAAAAAGCCTCACTTATCAGTCCTAACCCAGTCAGAAAGCACTAATAGCAGCATTTCAACCTAATTCTTTTTGATAAACACATAACCTTTAATGTTTATAAGACCACAACTAACTTACTAAATTTGTTTTAACACTTATTTTCACAAAGAAATTGGAACAATTTCCTGAACTGTATAAAAAGTGTAATTAGGTCACTCCTGGTTCACCTGAAACCTTACTGTGTGGCTTGTCTTGTGGTAGCATGTATTAACCAAACAAAACCAGTCCAATCCTTCCATTAAAATTCTAACTTTTAGCTTAAAGTTCCAATTCCCTAATAAGAGATCCTGGGTTTTTACTCACATAAGTGAATCTGAAAGACCAGAAACATTTTAGCACGTGTATTTTCGCTTACTCCTTAGCAAGATTAAATTTGCTTAAAACAGATAGGCTGCACTATCATTTGTATGTAACATTCTATAAAACTAGAAAAAAATACCATCACAGTTCTCGACACGATCCTTAGGAAACACTCTCAAGTTGCAAGACTGTTTCAGTTGTCAATACACAGAAAAAACACAGAACTTTAAATCGAACACTTCTGATGTCTTAAATTAACTTTTTTTTTTTAAAGCAGCATAAACAGTAAGCAGATTATATCTGTTTCCAGCCTGTATTGACTGGCAAAAGCAAGCAAAAGAAATTTTGGACTGCCACAGGAGGAAGGATGTTCCTAGATCTGCCACTGCAGAATCACTGCCGAGAGGCCACCTTTGCTAAGCTGTTGTACTTGTTAGTATGCCAATCTGTGTGAAATGGATGTGAGCCTTCCACCTCTGAAAATCCTTTGAGACCTAAAAAGTGTTGTTTGAACGGTAAAGTCTTTAGGAACTAGTGCAGCTTAACTCTTCTAAAGAAAAGAAAAATAATTCTTGAAAATTACTATCTTGCTACTAAGAGATGAGTATCAAGTTTGTGAAGGACTCCATGTTAAGTTTAAACTGGATTTCAAGAAAACCTATTAATTTAAACAGTTGCAATACTGTGTACCACTTCCTTTTGGACAGGGAGGTTTATTTTCCCCCCCTCTCCAGTACTTTCACAGGCACTAAGAAAAGACAATTCTCTTCTGTTCAGAAATACGAAGCAAGTTATTTAAAACCACCTGATTTAGCAAGTTCTAGCAAGGATAAACTATCCTCATCTTCCTCATTACTTTTAGCCACTTGTACTAGTCATGCTATATTCTAAGCATGCATTGAAGCTCATACCATTTTATTTCTTTATTAATTAAAACCATTAAAGCTATACCAGGTTCTGGACATGTACATTCCAAGAGCAATGTTTACAACTCTTTAAGGGAAAACCAGTGATTTTAAGGATGTTTCGCTTTTCTAAACACAAAATTAATAGTTTGCATTGTGAACATTATTTGTGATCTCAGCGCCTTGCCCCATTTTTAACATGTATTACATTCAGTGAAACTTACTCTGTCTTGACTGAAACTTAAGCTATGGAGTCAACCAGGATAAATTTGACTTAGATTTATATATACAACCTAGAGTACACACATGAGTTAATAAAGCTCTATGATATTTAAAACACCTTGGACATGAACCGTCAAGATCATACACAACCACATACCCACAGGACTACACCCTTACAGTGATATCTTTATGACAAGATAGTCCTATGCATCATTTTGATTCAAGGGAATTAAAGAGTTTATTCTGTCATTCTACTCATTTGGGTACAGTATAGAATACCATATATACCAAACTTCCTCACTTCCAAAAGAAATGAAAGCAATTAAAACTACTTTTAAAACAGCCTGCTCTAGGCTATAGTAGAAAGAAAGAAATGAGTCTTTGCTCCATCCCAAGTAACATTTTCATAGTTTCTTTGTTGACTTTGGTTTTTTGGAGTTTTTTTTTTTAAATCTGTTGTCATATGTAAGATCTGTAAAACTTCCTGAAAACAGTAAATCACTGACAAAGATACAGTATATACATAATCTATATTAATATGTGCTAGGAAAAATAGTGCCAGTTACAAGTTGTGCAGATGCGACAAAAAGCAGTTGTTTCCTTGTTTCTCCACTGTATGGGTGCAAGAAAGAAGACAACATTGAGATACAGCTGATGCATTTTTTCAGCTGGCCAGGTATATTTCCTCCTTTTGTAGCCTAATCATACACAATCCCCTTCTTCCTGATTTATACATAAATTTTGTTTCCTGTTTAAATCCTATACTGTAGTTTCCACTCCTTAGACATGAATTTTCTCAACAGCAAAGCATGAAACCATTTACATTAGTTGCACTTCTTACCAAGAAATGCTTAAGAGCTTGTCAAATAAGAGCTCAAGCAATTCTAGATTTAGTTAGCTAGCTTAGTTTTGGGATGCCCTCACTGCTACCAAAATCCCATACACAACTTGCTTCTAACTTCGAGAAAAATTCCATGCTGAAATGAAGTCATAACCGAGAAGGTAGACCTGTGTTGTGTTGAGGAAAGTTGGCAGGAGTTGCACAAGGGCGTGAGGTGAGAAGAAAAAGCCAAGCACGTGATTACCTGCCAGGAGATCTGCTTCCCTCTATGTTAACCTAGACTGGATGCACAGTGACTCAGCTCATATTTGACCTTCTCCAAAAACAACGTTTATGGTCTAAGACTTGCTCCAAGCTACTGACTGTCACATTAGACCAAATCTAAACAAAAAGCTTCCTATTCAGGGCCTTCAGATTATTTGGTGGATTAACACCCCCAAGTCAGCCATCAGTACCGCACACAGACGGAAGCATTCCCAAGGGAACAGAGTGCACACACAGAAGATCTCCCATGCCCCGGTTGTAGCCTACCGTGCCTTTATCCTGAAGGCACATCATCAGAGTGCAGACGTCACCCGTTGCTTGATGGTTCACCAGCACCATGGCTTCATCTTCTGATACTGCTTTAACATCATCACCCCATTCCACTACTATTAAAAATAAAAAAAATAAAAAAAGGTAAATTTTACAACGAGCACAGGGAAATTTTACTATCAACAAAACAATAAAAAAAGACCCCAGACAATTATAATAAAGAAACCTACATGCTACTACATGTCCATTTAAATTGGCACATAGCATCAGGTAGGAATATTAGCAAGACCATTTTTCCAAGCAGGGGGGTGTTCAGCTTAGTTTTAAATTGCATGCGCAGAATAAGAACAAAACAAAAATACTCTATCAGAACATGTGCACGGAGATTGACTTTTTTGTGTCATCACACCATTCTATATTTAGGGTCTCAAAATTACATAAGCTTTTGACCCAGCTTTCATATTCATCTATCTCACCTCATTAGATGTAAAAAAAAAAAAGAATTTGTTGTTGACGGTGGGTTTTGTTGGTTGTTTGTTTTGGGTTGCTTTTTTTTTAACTTAGCAAATTTGTTTCATTTCTACTATTGTTATTCTACTCCAGTAAAAGCAAAACAAAAAAATCCGTAGTTGGGTCATTAGGTTTAAAGTGCTACATTAAACAAACTCAGTCATTCAAATCTAAACAAGTTAGCTATAGGCAAGAAAGTGGGTTCAGAAAATGCTGTTCAGATAATAGAAACTATTGGTCACTATTTCGAAGACCAGAGACCAGATGCTTCAGTGGGCAAGAATGATGACAGGAGGAAGATACAGCTGTTGATCATCCAACATTTACACTGACTAGCAAAACCATGCTGAGATAAGGAAGAGGGGTTAAAAATTGCTAGTTCCATCATCACAAAGTAACTAAGTGGAGAAAGAGAAGACTGCCTCCCAAAGAACACAGGATGGAAAACTAGAAAATGTATGTTGCAAATTTAAAGACTAGAATACGTCTAATGCTGTTACTCAGGCAAAGAGACAAGTGAGTAGAGACTGGCTCTCTTCAATACAAGGGATGGTTACTGCAATGCCGGCTAAAGGGAAAGGATGGGCAGGCAGAGGAGCTCTGTGAAGTCCCAAAAGTAAGATGCATTTTCCATGCATGTAGGATATAATTATTTTTCTGTGTTTGTTCAGTATCTTAAATGGTTCTTACTGGCTGTTATTTTCAGTTCTGACAACAAAGGAAATATTTCACCTGTACTACTGAATCTTTTGTACTGTTATTAACAGGTTTCCAGGCAGTGAACAACTCTCAGCATAGGACAATTACTTCATTACGATCTGTCTTTTAATACATGGTTTAACTGATGCAAAGGCAATAGGCTACACACTCAAACCAAAAAGCAATAATCCATGCATAGCTTCCCTATTCTTGCAGAAATCAATTACCATCACACTTTTGAAAATTGCCACTTCTATTACTTTCTAATGGCTCCCAAATTAGTACTGAATTGAGACTTGAACACCAAGCAAAAAACCAAAATGCTGTATTTGGTCATAGGTAGATAAAATCAGATTAGAGATATGAAAGTGGGGAGGACTGTTCATTTCACAATGTTCAACCTCCTTTCCTTTCCCCAGGCAAGCTAAGCACAGATCCTTCCTTATTTTTCTCAACATGAACTTGGACATCCCCTTTATCCCTCCTTCTCACTATGTGTGAATTTCCTCTGATGGCCTAACTCCATGGAAGTTGGAAAATGCTTTGACATGGCAGTCATAGCTGCCTGCACACCTCCCTTATCAAGTATTTCACATATCCAGCTATGGCAGTATCCCACAGGGCAAGAAACTAAGACAAAAATGAGAATTGTTTTAAAGAAAAACAAATCAACCACATACTGACTTTGAAATTATTACTTTAGTGTCTTTATTAAGCAGCCAATATACAACCTTCTTACTGAACTGTGTCTTATTAAAAGTAATAAAAACTAAGCACTAAATACATTAAGCATGTGCAAAATCAGGTTTCTCACACCTAATTATTTCCAAATAAAACTACTTTATTTCTAGATCACTTGGAGAAAAAAAATGCAATACTTTACTACAGATACTTCCCTGGAACATATCAATTTAAGTACTAATCATTTCAACTTTAGAACAATTTAAAAAGCAACTATTTTTAATCTTCAAAACTGATTCAAAGATCGAACTTTCTGAAGGATTAAAATAAAGCTCATGACTGAAAAATGTAAGCCATGAGAAGCAGCACTCAACTGAAAACAACTGAAGAGTAGACCTTATGGAGCTTAATTTGCTAGAAAAAAGTACATTTTAAGGTATTAGGCGAAGACCAATGTCTGACTTTGAAACTTTCAGATATGCCCCAGTCAAAGAAGCACAGGAAAAAAGTTTGTGGTGTTACCTATTTTACCTACTCTTGTTAAATCCACAAAGGTATAAAATACACAACCAGCTTATGATGCACTAACAAGCTTCAGGAGACAAGTAAGAAAAAAAGATGGGCTCTGTTATCCCACTCCAAATGCAAGGTAAAAGAAAAATAACATTTAATTCTTGAATTGATTTACTCAATTCATTTTATCTACCAACCAGCTAGGGTAATAGCTCAACTTCTGCCACTCAGCTGACAAGTCGTAGGTTATTAAATCACAGTGAATCAGCTGGCCCTCCTCTAGCTTCTTTTCTTTCCCTCTGTCAATTCTCCTCAGGCAATCAGGCTGTCTCTTGTGCTTAATAACGCTTTATGGTCAATTGATTGACCTGATTATCAAGGAGAAAAGAATCACTTTGTGCAAGTCCTTCACAGAGCATTTCTGGATAAGAAACAGAACAGCAAACCACAAAAGTGTGCAGAAAAACCACTGCCATTACTATAATTTTTTAAAGAAGAAAAAACCCAAACCCTCAAGTATCTAGAATTTTAAGGTCACAGTGTCCCTTTAAAATCAGCGGGAGGAATAAATGCTTGTCTTCAATTTTCTCACCACACTGAGATTTTCCAAAGGAGAGTCTTTTGCTTTAAGAAATACTTGTGCTATTACATTCTTCCACTGCAGTTGGAAACATTCAAATCAAAACCTCAGCTGCATGGCAGCAGAACCAGTAACTCTGCTTTGCTCCACTGTAACCAGACAAAAAAAGCTTCAAAGACAAATATTTGTCATTTGGGGGCCTGAAATCCAGCAAACATCCCTCCACAGCTTCTTTTATTGCCAGAGCATATTTTATAATGATACCAGTTCTGTGTCAACAGCCTGGCAATAGTTGGACTTCTGCAAATGCAGTTTAACATAGTAAAATAACATAAAGGAAGGAAAGACCAGGAAATCAGTTTAACATGGTAAGACAGAAGTGACTTAGATGTGAGAGAGGGTGACTTAGGGTTGTATGCAAAGGGCTTCTCCAGGAAAGAATGAAGACAATTATACTTGCAATTACATGAGCCCTAAGACAGAAATATTTATCCCTCTCTCATAACAAGAAGTCCAAGATCTAAAACATCAAGCAAATATTTCATATAATGAATTGCAGATTTAGCTTTTTTACAAGCTAATCCTTACAGAGCTTAATGAAGAAAATAAACGCAATAAAAGTTTTTTCCATGTTTTTAGTGAACTATTAGACATCTAAGTGTAGCTGTTGAGAGTTTCAGAACACTTGGCTACTTTGTAATCATGTTCTTAATGTAACTGTGTGCATACAAGCAATGCTCTGAATAAATATTCAAGCACTTTAATTGCAGTACGCCAGTAGGCTGGGCAAATGACTACTCGGCTAACTAACAATTCAGTAGATTTATTTTATACTTTTGGATATACCTGGCAAGAATGGCAGTCTAGTGTTCTGTGTAACTGCCTAGCCATTAATAGGAAAAGCTTCATTTTGCATACTGCATTTTAAAACTTAAAAAATGCTCTGAATTTTTTGTTATAGTCAATAGTTTCACTACAGTCTGTACCATAAGAATCGGCATACATTTTTTTGGCATCATAACAACTTAAGTCCTAATTTATTATTTCAAAATCCGTTGAGTTTTAAAAGATTGATACTTTCTGGCAAGATCACGAGAAGTCTTTAAGTGTTCTAATTACAACTATTAAAAAGCCCAAACCCTTAAAACATCTAGGTAAATCACCATAAAGTTACAGCATATGTTAACATATAATTGATTTGTATATCCACTTTATTTGCCATAGAGATTTCAGTAAACACAATATTCACAACTCTCTCTAGAAATTGGAGATGTTAAGAACTTTCTCTCTAGAACTTCTCACAGAATCACAGAATGGGTAAAGCTGGAAGGGGCCACAGGGGGTCAATCTTGTCCAACATCCCCACTCAAGCAGAGTCATCCTAGAGCACACTGCATAGGATTGTGTCCCAACAATTCTTGAATATCTCCAGTGAGGGAGACTCCATAACCTCTCTGGGTGATCTGTTCCAGCGCATGGTCACCCACACAGTTAAGAAGTTCTTCCTCATATTCAGGTGGAACTTCCTGTGCAACAGTTTCTGGCCATTGCCTCTAGTCCTATTGCTTGGCATCACCAAGAAGAGCCTGGATCCATCCTCTTGGCATGCTCCCTTCAGGTACTTAAATAGATTGATGAGGTCCCCTCTCAGTTGTCTCTTTCATACTTCCTCGTAAGAGAGATGCTCCAGTCCCCTCATTATCTTTGTTGCCCTCCACTGAACCAGCTCCAGGAGCTCCATGTCTCTCTTGTACTGAGGACCCAGAGCTGGACACGGCACTCCAGACATGCCTCACTAGGGCTGAGGGACAGGATCACCTCCCTCAACCTGCTGGCAATGCTCTTCCTAATGCACCCCAGGACACCATTGACCTTCTTGGCCAGAAGGACACACTGCTGGCTCAGGGACAGCTTGTTGTCCACCAGGACTCCCAGGTCCTTCTCCCCAGAGCTGCTTTCCAGCAGGTCAGCCCCCAGCCTGTGCTGGTGTATGGGATTATTCCTCCCCAGCTGCAGGACCCTGCATTTTTAAACATATCCTTAGTTTATTTTTTCTTCTGATCACTTGTAATCACTTGCACCCATGATGCAAGACTTCATGAAAGTTTGTTCCAAGGAGCTGCAGACTGGCAA